CAATGAAATCCCAATAAAAAACATCTACATGTATTTTATGGAGTGAGATGAGTTGATACTATCATGTAAGAATAGGCAGGAAAACTGCAAGGTGGATACCAGATATTAAAACATCCGATAAAGCTTTGACAAAAGTCAGGTGCTGACACATGAATAAATAAATAACAGATTAATCGAATGGACTGAAAGTCCAGAAATAGACCAAGTATGTCTGGAGCTTTAGAATATAGTACAGGGGATATGTCAAATCCCTCGAATAAGGGTGGAATGTTGTTTTTATTTAATGGTGAGACTCAAATTTGTTACATCAATTAAAAACACACAGGGAGTAGCAAGGGAATAAATATAGGGTAAGTTAACACATTATTAGGAAAGGTTGCAAGCTAGGTGGAAGGATCACACTAGTTGAATCCTGGCTTGTGCAATGTCTGTGTGTCCTGCATCTCCCTCTCTCATCAGCCCTCCCTGCCGATGGACCAAGCTGAGGTTCAAGCCCACAGACAAAGGTGCCCAGAGGCGAGGACTGACACCTGCTCTCTCTGTCTGAAGCACTCGGGGACAGTTGCGCCTGCCCAATAGCTGTACCTTGGTGATCAGTCTGCTGAAGAGCTATGGGTTGTAGTTGGCCCATGGATTCATGTGCTTTGGACAGAGGACACAAGGACCAGAATCGTTATCACTAATGAGGGACTCAATTAAATCTCATTCAGAATATCTTTACCTTCACACGTCTCACGGGAGCTGAGAAAGTATCTCCTCCCAGACCTGGACTGGAATCCATCTTCGCAAGCACAGTGGGTGCTGTTGTGGCAGGAGGCATGCTCAGGGCACTGAGGACAGACGGCTGCAGGGAACACAGAACAGTGCATTCGTTTGCTCATTCGTTTGTTCGAGAAATGTTCCTTACGCACCTGCAATCTATGTGCTGTGGTCAGAAGGACGTCCTCTTGGGAATGGCTCTATGGCATCCTTTTTGCACCCAGCCCACAGCTGAACACAGATGCGCACAGAGCCTGCCCAGGTCCCACTTCTGCCACCAACACCACTCCTGCCTGACGGTGGCCTCCGAATGCCAGCACCTGTGCTTCTTTACCTGAGGGCTCTCTCTGGCCACCAGAGTCCTCTTTGTGCACCACATGGCGGGTCAGCGCTGCTTTCCTTTCCAGGAGCAGCTCCCTCCGTCAGTGACTGACAGGAGTCAGTCTATTAAAATAACTCGGCTCGATTAATATATAAAAAACCAACCAGGAAAGAGCAAGCGTTGGGAGAATGCAGAGAAAGTGGAACCCTTGTGCCGTCCTGGTGGGAATGTGAAATGATGCAGCCTCCGTGGAAAACAGTAGGGCCGTTCTTCAAGAAATCAAAATTTAGAGTCACCAAATCACCACAGGAGCCAGCAGTCCCAGTTCTGGGTATACAATGAAGGAACCGAAAGCAAGGCATGGAGGAGATGTTCGTGCACCCACGTTCGTGGCAGCATCATTCACAATAGCCCAGTGCTGCGGATAAACAGACGCCACCGATGGCCGGATCGGTAAACACACTGCGATACAACCACGCAATAGGGTATTGTTCGACCTTATAAAGGAAGGAAATTCTGACACATGCGACAACATAAGTGAACCTTGGGGACATTATGCAAAGTGACACAAGCCAGTCACAAAGGGAAAATCTCTGTACGACTCTACTTATGTGGGGTCCCCAGAGGCGTCACATTCATGGAGACAGGAAGTAGAACGGTGGGTGCCAGGGGCTGGAGGGGGGTGGATGGGGAGTTGCTGCTCAACAGGGACAGAGTTTCGGTGCTGCAGTTGGAGAGAACTCTGTGCACGGGGAGTGGCGATGGTTGCACAACAGTGTGGGTGCCCTTCATGCCACCGAACGGTGCCCTTGACAATGGTTACAAAGATAAATTTTATGTTACATATATTTTACTACAAGTTAAAAATAACAACAACAAAGCATCTTCCTTGCCCACTGGGGGGAATAACTGAGGCGTGAGCTCCACACTGTGTCCCGTGGCTCCCCCCAGGGGTCAGGCTCCAGTCGCCCACATGTAACTCTCGTGACAAGTTCCTACGTCACCTTCTCCGCCTCCTGTGCCACTGCCCACTCCCAGGTGGTGCCTTCTAGGGTCACCTCCCAGACTAATGACTTGCTCTCAGGATCTAATACTCAGGGGAACCCAACCCACGATGTGGCATAAAGGCAGAGCATTTTCAGGAATGACGTAGGACACAGGTTTGCACAAAAAAAGAGCAGAATCCGGCATCACCAGCTGCGTGACCCTGAGCCGGCGCCTTCTCAAGGGGACCTTGGCCAAGTGGGGACAGTGTCCGCACCTTCTGTGTAGGAATGTCACAGAGGACTGAACGGGAGGGTATGTATCAGTTGCTTAGCTGAGTAAATGCAGATGGTGGTGGTAACGCCAGAGTAGGGGGACAGCCCTCGGGAGGTGGGAGACACCAGGGACTCAGCGCTCACTGTCTTGCAAAGGGCTCCCCCCCCTCCCAGAAGCAAGTCTCCAGATCCCAATTTCCTTTCCTCTGGCCTTTGGCCATGAGTAGACTCACCTCCAGAATTCCTGGCTTCTGGTCCTGACACAGCCAGCAAGACACCGAGACCTAGAACAGAGAAGAGAGGACAATTCAGATGAGGACCCTGGGCTCTGTTTGGCTGAAGGCTGGGTTTAGGTTGTTATCACCTACTCGGCCACCGTACTCCAAGCATCGACCTTCTTGGTGGTGGATCAGTGCAGCAGATACGTGAAGCGTCCCCTTAGCCAACCCCAGAGGGGGTCCCTATGTCTGCAGATCCTACTGTATCTGTCTGAAAAGTGCATTTTCCTGCAGCCCACGGGGGCATGTCAGAAACGTTTGAGAATGACACCGTTTCTTGGAGGGTCCCCAGTAGGACTGAGCTCTAAGAGACTTAGAAACATATTAACCAATTGCAGTGTCTTATTGAACCCAGATCAAACAAGTAATTTTTTATAAAAGTTCATAAGGCTGAACATTTCATGACATTAAAGAACTATTGTCCACTTTCCATGGACGTGATAATTCACCCTCAGCTTCCTCGCCTGCACGGCGGTGACCCCTCGTTAACGCACCTTCATCGGCTCTTCCCTCTTCCTCATGTGACACTCCCACGCCCCTTCTTGTGCCTCCTCCCAAATAAATACTCACACACACTAGTTCTCATCCCAGTTCTGCTTTGGGGCAGCCCAGCCTAAGAGACTCAGTGGGAGAGTTTCGTGTAGGACAAGCACACGCAGTTGTTGCTGGAGAAAGTGCCAACCGTTAGGGAGCGAACGTAGCCAGGACGGCAGGGGCAGGAAGAGAAGAGAGGGGAGGTCTTTGTTCCACTCACCCGAGAGCAGGAGCAAGCGCCTGCTTCCCATGGCGCGGACGCAGCGGGAGCAACAGTCTGAGGCTCTCTCTTCAGCAGGAGGTGGGGAGAGTTCCTGAAACGAATAAGCCCAGTGAAAACCAACTCCTCAGGGTCACAAGGCTAGAAACCAGGGGGTGGGAGGATCAATGACCCAATCATTCTGCTTCTGGGAAACTCTCTCAAGGAAAGGATCCTGCAAGAACGATCACAGCAGAGGAGGTTGCAGGACCCAAGCTCACCACCCAACACGTGGCGCAAAAAGAGATGCATCTCGTGGATTGAATATTCTGCTGGGATTTAAAATCCTGTTCTATTGCAATCAGCATAATCCAGACTGCGGAAAACTCCCCTGGACAAACTACCTTGTTTCCATTTCTTTTTTTTATTTCTTTCTTTCTTTCTTTCTTTCTTTCTTTCTTTCTTTTTTTTTTGAGATAGTCTTGCTCTGTCACCCCACCTAGAGTGCAGTGGCGTCATCATAGTTCACAGCAACCTCAAACTCCTGGGCTCAAGTGATCCTCCTACCCCAGCCTCCCAAGTAGCTGGGACTACAAGCATGAGCCACCACAGTTGGCTGATTTTTCTAATTTTTGTAGAGATGGGCTCTCACCATGTTGTTCAGGCTGATCTTGAACTCCTGGCCTCAAGCGATCCTCCTGCCTCAGCCTCCAAAAAGTGCTAGGATTATAGGCGTGAGCCATCGCACCCAGCCTCTTTTTTTTTTTTTACATTGCTGTTATTTGATTTTTTAAAAATATTTTTCATTGACAAATAGTTGTATATATTTATGGGGTACAGTGTGATGTTTCAATATATGTTTACATTCTGGAACTGTTAAGTCAAAGTAATTAACATATCCATCGCCTCACATACTTGTCATTTTTTGTGATGAGAACATTTAAAATCTACCCTTTTAGCAATCTGGAAACACACAATATATTATTATTAACGGTCGTCACCATGCTGTACGATAGATCTCTAAAACCGATCCCTCCTAGTTAACTGAAACTCTGTGCCCTCTGACCATCACCTCCCTATTGCTACCTCCCAACCCTTCCCCTTCATCTGTTATCCACTGTTCTTGTCTCTGCATCTATTACTTCCACTTTTCTCTTTGTCCAAAAAAAAAAAAAATGCAAGATGTTAAAAATAACCAGATAGAAAAGGAACCTAGTTTAAAAGAGACTTAGAAATATATCAGCCATTTGGGTAGAGGCCCAGTAATGGGATTGCTGGATCAAATGGTAGATCTACTTGTATCTCTATAAGGTATCTCCATATTGCGTTCCACAGAGGCTGCAGTCCCACCAGCAGTGTATGAGTGCTCCTATCTCTCTGCATCCACGCCAACATTTATTGTTTTGGGACTTTTTGATAAAGGCCATTCTCCGTGGAGATAAGTGATATCTCATTGTGGTTTTGATTTGCATTTCCGTGATGATTAGAGATGTTGAGCATTTTTTCGTATGTTTTTTGGCCATTATGCTGTCTTCTTTTGAAAAGCCCAAAAGAACAAAAGACATTCTATAAAAAAGACACCTGCACTCGAATGTTTATAGCAGCACAATTCACAATTGCAAAGATGTGGAAACAACCCAAGTGTCCATCAATATATAAGTGGATTAATAAAATGTGGTATATGTATACCATGGAGTACTATTCAGCTATAAGAAACAATGGTGATATAGCACCTCTTGTATTCTCCTGGATAGAGCTGGAATGCATTCTACTAAGTGAAGTATTCCAAGAATGGAAAAATAAGAACCACATGTACTCACCAGCAAATTGGTTTCACTGATCAACACCTAAGTGCACATATAAGAATAACATTTATTGGGTGTCAGGCAGATGGGAGGGGGGAGGAGGGGATGGGTATATTCACACACAATGAGTGCGATGCACACCGTCTGGGGGATGGACACGCTTGAAGCTCTGACTTGGCGGTGGGGAGGAGGGGGCACGGGCAACATACATAACCTAGACATCTGTACCCCCATAATATGCTGAAATAAAGAAATATATATATCAGCCAATTGCAGTGTCTTACTGAACCCAAATCAAACAAATCATTTTTTAAAAGGTTATAAGGCTGAACATTTCATGACGTTAAAGAATGACTCTCTGTTTTTCATAGACGTGATAATTCCCCCTCAGCTTCCTCACCTGTCACTTTAGGTGGCTGCTCTAGAGAAAGCTAGAGGTAGGACAAAGAGGTTCTCTGTAAAGAAACCTGATCTTTTGCAGATGCGTACTAAAAATTTCACATATGAAATAATGCAATGGCTAAGATTTGCTTCAACACAATTGAGTAGGGGGAGTGGTTTGGGGGCCTGGCAGGGGGGAAAGACGAAATAAGATTGGCCAGGAGTTAATCATTGTTGAAGCTGGGTGAGGGGTCTGCTATTCTCCCTACATTTTATATGTTTGGAAGGTTCCATAATTTAAAAAAAGGGGGAGAGGAAGGTGATCTTAATGGTATACTGTTAAGTTAGTAAATAAACAACTCCCAAGGGACAGAAGTAGGTGTGCTAATATTTGCATAAAATAGGGAGATGACAAGAAAAATTAACATACTATATACAATTAGAGATAATGCGTAGATATATTTATACTATGTTTATACAACAGGGCAACTATCTCCCCCATTTTACAAAAAGTGTTAGAATTCTACATACAGTTCTATATGTGTGTGTATATATATGCATGCACAAAGTCAGACATGCAAATCTATAAATTGCAAATGCATCAAGTGTATGTATATATCTGTTATAATACTGTATTTGGATAAAATATTCTAAAGGGTACCTAAGAAACTGACAACATCAGGTGGCTTTGAAAATGAGCGGCTGGGAAGCTGAGGCAAAGAGACTTGTCACATTTCATCCTCTTGTGCCTTTTGAAGTTTGAACCAAGTGAAGGTCTTTTCTACTCAAAAAAATAAACCATTTCTAACAAAGAAAACAGTGGCAGTGCTAGACATCAGCATGAATGAGCCTTTTGAAAAAGACTTTAAGAAGCATCACAGTAAGTGTCTGCCTGTGGATATCATTTTAAAATTTGAAAAGCACTCTCCTAAGGTAATGTCAGAGGGCAATTGGAGTTTAAGATAAAACTTCCAGTGCATATTAGGAGAGAGAATGTGTCCTGCTGATCTATTAAGACGCTCACACAGCGGTGCCGATGATGATAAAGTTGCTGATGGGGAAGATGTACTAAGTGGTTTGAAGAAAACAGTTTCATAAAATGGAAGTAGGAGGAAAGACAGCATTGAAGTATGTGCAGTGCCAATAATTTGATATCATAAATAAAAATAATGGTGTAAGAGGCTATTAAACTGACTTGGAAAGTGATTATAATG